CATGGTTCCCACCAGACAAAATGCACATTTGTAATTAAATAGAATTTCAGTTGTCACCTGAGAATCATGCAATCTTTAATTCCTGGTTAATAATTCTGTTGTGTGTCACCTAGTTCTTCTACGCAACCATCAACATATTCGTCTCTACGATGGGTAGACGCATTATTATTTTACAGACAGAGGCCTCTCTCTTCATGGTCCCTGTGCGAGGCTCATTACAGTGGTTCCAACTAGAATTCTCAAATTCTTAGCATGTGTTTTAGTCATGAAGGAATAGAAAACTGAAATGTCATGTATGTGTATATGTTCTGAAAGATCAGTGTGTTCTGGTGGGTTGGAGCCGGGGGCCTGGCCCCGGTGGGGTTGCTGGAGGGCTGCCGAGCTTTGAGCCCGGCGCGGACATCGGCACTGGTGTGGACGGGGCTTGAGCGAGAGGACTGTGGGGGTCGGGGTGCCGCCTGCAGAGCCCAGAAGCGGAGCCCCAGAGCACTGTGAACTTTTACCTGGAAACGCAGAGGTTCGATATAAAAACTGGGGTTTGAGATGAGTGTCCTTCATTTCTAGAGAGGTTCTGAAGTGCTGGGAAGGGACCAGAACTCAATACGGGCAGGACATAAAAACGTTCCTAAATTTCATAGAGAGGAATGAATTGAAGGGCCCAGGATATCCCCGTTGTGAAATTGTAAAGGGAATGATGAAAAGCTTAGGAAAAGATTAAAACTATGAAGGCCAAAGAGGATGGTGTGAAATTGCAGCTTGTGAACACTGGCGCGGCAGAGTTGGAAGCGAAGGGCTGGCCGACTGCTTTTAAAGCAGATTCTGTCTTAGCTGGAAATATCCTCATTACCCAGCCGCAGGACATGAACCAGAGAACACTATTCTCAGATGCAGCAAAATGTGAAAACCTTGGTGCATCTTTCTAAACGCACCCCCTCTGACTTTCTATACTTACTCATCATTTCTTTTCAGAGAGATCAGTTGTAGAAGCCATGTCTTTTTTTTTTTTCCAATGAAAGTGAACAGGCTGTTTCCTCTTATTGGATAATTGCATACCTCTGAAATGGCCATAGCCACTAGTTATCTCAGGCACCGATTCTGGAGTTCTAACATAGAGTTCAGGGGCCAAATTTCACCTTGAAAGTGGCGGTGGTGTTTCCTCACCTTAGGCCTTGTTAGGTGACTATTCTGTACCTTTCTGTTGCCTCATGCATCATACGATTTTAAAGTATTTATAGAGACATTCATATGAAGAAATATAATTTTGATAGAAACGNCCACTCCAGCTGTCAAGTTCAGTGCTGCTCAGCCTGAGGTCGCAGGCTGGTCTGAAGGCGCAGGTGCCTTCTGTGCCCGTCAGCAGTTCCCTGCTTTAGACTGGTGTGCTCAGCTGCCACTGAGGACTGGTCTGCGGCCCCCACGGCTCAGGCCACTGAATGGGTTGGGACAGCCACTGAGTGAGTGGTCCTAAGCTGTTCTTCCACAAACTTGTCAGCAAAATGGAAATAAGATTGATGGAAAATAGCCAGTTTGTAAAAGTTAAAAAAAAAAATCATACTTTCAATTCTCTTCTGGCACCTTTTTAAAAAATTCCATTTGTTATGTCTTTGGAAAATACAGAACTCATAGCTGAGAATTGCAGCAAATGACCGAATGGTCTATATGCCATTAATAAAAAGGGAATGGAAAAGGCTCCACAGCAAAATAATGTGTTCAGCCATGGAGCG